AGTACAGATGCACCTCAAAAATCCATCGGAAAAGGTTGTTTTAATGTTGAAAGACTCTCTAATTGATCATCTCGACATCGAAATGTATGAATGTGTAAAAAAATATATTTTAAGTCCCAAAAATAGTGCATCTTGCAACACATTATCTAGACCGTCCATTTTCAAGATTTTCACATGTTTATCGATCTACATGATTTTAACAATTTTTGGAGTTTAAAATTTTATAATTAGATATGAAAATACATTTTTAGATAATTCTAAGAATTTTTTACACCAAAATTACATGTTATAATAAAATTTGGTGGTGCGCCTTAATTGGATTGTTAAAGGTTGCAACCTTATTGAAACCACACCCAATTATAAATACCCCCCCCAATTTCAACTTTCTGCATATCCTACTCCCCAATACTTTTTGTATTAAACCCTAAACCCCAACACTATTTTTCCTTGTATTTACCCCGACCAAAATACCCTTTTTCCTCTCTCTTCCCCTTTTCAACCTACTTTTGTATAGTTCTCCCTCAAACTCTCTCTATATGCCCAAAAAAACTCTCTCATCCGTATTCTCTTTGTATCTCTCTGTACTTTCCCTAAAAAGCTCTCTCTCTCTCCCTGAACTCTTTTCTCTCTCTCTCTTAAAAAATGCGATCCAGTACATTTGGTTCCGGACCGCAAAATACTACAGAAATTTTTCTGCTTAAAAGATGTGGTCTGGTACTTTTTCGGTCTGGCACAAAAAAGTCCCAGACCGTAAAAATGCTAGGGACGAGAGAGAGAGAGAGAGAGAGACAGAGAAGTTTATTTGGGTAAAGTAGAGAGAGATATAGAGAGAATACGAATGAGAGTTTTTTGGGTAAGTAGAGAGAGAGTTTGAGAGAGAAATATAAAAAAGTATGTTGAAAAGGGGAAGAGAGAGGGAAAAGGGGTATTTTGGTCTCAAAATGGTTTGACTATTTGACTGGGGGGTAAATACTAGGAAAAATAGGTGTTGGAGTTTAGGATATAATACAAAAAGTATTGGGGGGTAGGATGGTATCTATAATTTTCCCTAATTTGTATGATTTTTATTTAGCAATAAAAAAAATCATTTCCATAACTTTTTTGGGGGAGTAAAAAATGAATATCTGAAAATTGATTTACTTTTTACCTTATATGATTAGCTGGTTTGTTTCTATATATTACTTTGGAGTTGCCTTCTCCTAAGGATTTATTTGGTACATAGTTGATGTCTCTTAGACCAAGTTGTTAAAATGGAAATATGGCTTGGAGTACTGGAAAATATGTTGCTCTTCAAGTGGGGTTTATTGGTGGTGGTGGTGTTGTTTGGGGGCATGCTTTTCCGTCGTATGGAATTAGTATGTCAATGATGTACCGGTCTCAAGGAAGTTCATGTGGATTGAAGTATTCACTTGAGTGTAATGAGGGACTTATGAAGCATAGCTATGGTTATGAGAAGGAATGAAGGTGAGTCAAGTTCATAGATCTGACATCTTTGAGCTTTATTTATATTGCAAGGTATCTTATGGGAGAGATTTTAATCGTGTTTTTGGTTTATTAGGTAGTAGTCGTTATGTTATATATGCCTTCCCAGCTATTTTTTTTTTTTTGGGTTTTTTGTGATCGGAAAAAGGTGCACAATTTGATGACAGTGTAGTGGAATGAGTATATTATATATCTATTATGAACTTGTACTTTATATATTCATATTTTGCCATTTTCTAGTTAGTCATTTCCTGTAGTGTTTGTTTGGTTTTATTCAGTGAACGAAAATTCATCCTCCTGCCTATCCCAAGGGCAATCTGGATTGAATGGGGCCTAGCTTAGGGCCCATTTAGAAATGTACTAGGGCGCCCCCTGATGATGAATTTGATCGAGGGCCTTTAGTCTAGCGCAAAAATTGACAATTTCTTCCTTCAAAAAGGGGGGAAAAGGGTTTTGGGGGTCATTTCAGCCTCCCAAAACCCTTTTGTGCTCATTTTCTCCTTGTAAAACAATAATATTAAAAGTAAGATTTTGAGAATTTTTTGAAGATCAATTTTTTCTTGAACTTTACGATTTCGCAAGAAAATAAAAAAGAATTCAGTTCAGAACTTTTTGTTGGAAAAAAGGTCTTTCGGCAACCAAAAGTCACCAATTCAAGCCAAGTTCAATTAGGTTTTGAGAGCTCAGTCTATTTCAAGTCTTGGCGTAGGGTTTGGTGATATTGATGAATATTGGGTTTTTATTTTTATTTTTTGATTTTTGGCTTTGGATTATTCTCCCTAATAGAAGTATGGGGCAAATTCTGAGTTTTTTGATGTTTTATTAAAATTGGATAATTCAATCATACAAGGATATCAATAAACTTGAGCATGGTATTTTTGTTCTACATTATTAGCTTTTAGTCATTCAATTGAAGTTTCAAAGTCATGTATGTCTTAGTTTGAAATTCACAATAAGATAACACACAGAAAATTGTGAGACGATATTTTTAAATAAAAAAAATCTTTTATACACTTCATCAGGGGGTTTTAGTAACCAACAAGACCCCCAATTTCATCTTCGACGGCCTAGAACTCCCTTTGTGCCGGAAGCTCATGTATATGGATGCCCACCTAGGTGGCCATTTCCTCCTTCTTGAACATTGGTTTTATTCTCTGTATGTTTTTGGTGAATTTTTGACGTATGTTGCTTGATATATTCTATTATTTGTCCTCTTATTCCTCAAAAACATATACATCTATAACTGTGATTCCAGCTCAATAATAGCAACATGATGTCCAAATGCTATGAAAGGCATTGCTCACATTCTTCTGCCATTATTCCTAATTGATGCATTTTAGTTGGCTATTAGCCTATTATTGTAACCCGGCTTTCTATACCTGATTTTTATTAAAAAATAAGCATTTATTGTGCTACATTTTGTTTATTTGTTTGTATTGTGTTAAGTTCTATAGGACAATTGTGAGACTAGCTTTGTTTTATAAGGTGGAATGTTGGGTAGTCAATAAACAACATACCCATAGAATGAGTGTAGCTGAGATGATGATGTTGAAATGGATAAGTGGCAAGACAAGAAGAGATAGAATTAGAAATGAATACATTCGGGAGAATTTAGGTGTAGTAGGAATAGGCGATAAGATGAGAGAAAGTAGCCTTAGGTGGGCTAGCCATGTGTTGTGCAGACCCAGTACAACACTTATTAGGAGGTGCGAGTTAGTTCAATTGAAAGACTTAAAAAGGGCAAGGGGTAGACCCAAATAGTGATAAAAATATGGGGATTGGGCCTCACTGAGGGCATGACCCTTAATAAAGCAGAATGGCGGACCAAGATTCGTGTAGTAGACCCCAATTAATTAGGCAAAGGCTCTAATGATGACGATGATCAATTTTTTGGAAAATTTTGGGGTGCTATTTTGGTGGGATACATGGGAACTTGAAGGTTTATCTGCAGCGATCTTGTTTACAATGTCTCTTTTTGCATTTGTTTGGTTTATATATAGAAAATTTGTTGTTCTCGTAAATGGTATGGAGGTCATTTGATAGCAGTCGTCGTCATATATAAAGCTATGCAAGGAGTGGATGAAACATCTAGCTTTTAAAGTAGGATGTAGGGTTATTATAGTGTTTGATAGCAATATTGTTTATACGGTCTGGTTGTCAGGGAGTTGGTGTTTTTTTGTGAATGGCAGACTTTTTGATGTTGGAATGGAGTTGTAACTTGGACTTGTGCATGTAGGGCTTGTATTTCGTGTTTGTCATAAGATTATGAGATGGACTAAGGCATTATTTCAAACAACATCAATGTTTATGGGCTAATCTGATAAGTTCATGTTACCGAGCTTATGGTGCCCTCTACATGTGAGATTTTTGGCTCCAGGTTATTCTGTTTTATGTTCTCACTTTTGAGATGTCCATTTATGATGAAATTTCATTTGATGCATGGATTTAGAGTACTGACAAGGTTTATACTATTTTGTATTGCTGTCTTCTAATTGTGAAATTCTCAACAATCCTATATAAGGGGATCCTTGTTGAACTTGTTTTTGTTTGCTTCTCTAAATATTTGGTGTAAATGGTTTGGTTAAATTGCTTGGACATGCAGACGTGAAGGCATAACCGAAAAGGAACGAAAACAGGAACAAAAGAAACAAGATAAAGTTAGGAGGGAAATAATAGTCACCAATCGACAGAGAGTGACCCCTCAAAGGTCCTCCCTTGTGAACAGCCTGCCTCTTAATTAGCCTCTTTGAGCGTATTCTAGCATGAATTGGCTGCCTTTTGTCTCTATTAAATCTCATCCATGATATTAGCTAGTCTCTAATGGTAATCTGTTTCCTTGTGGGTGATTTTATGACAATGAGTGAGTTCTTCTACTTTCAAGGAACTTGAGGAAACATGCGAGATACCATTAAGGCCTGTTAAAAGGGCTATTGGTATTACCTCTATAGCATCACAAGAAACGGTAGTTTTCAGGTGGACTTCTGATACTCTGGCTCAGCTCATTCTTGAGTTAGGTCCTTGGTGACTTGGTTGATTTACCTGGTGCAAGCACATATGGTGATCAATTGAATAGTTTAGTGAAAGGTTTCATATTTGAAAGATTGTATATTTCACTTACAGTACTTTAATGTTTGCTCATGCTAGCCATGTTTTTCAGACCTGGAGAATCTATAGACTGTGAAGTGGGAAATCTTTTGGTAGATGAGGAGTCCTGGCTTAGATAGATGATGGCAATGATTCTATCTTCATAAGAGTTGTGGCCTTTTTATATTTCTGTGTGTGAAAAAAAAGAAAGAAAAGAATGGTTTGTGGCCTTTTCCTCTGATGGAGGTCAATTGCGACAAATCAAGAGATTAAGGATAGATAGAAGAAACCTGGATATGTTGCAAACACAGCATCCATTGACTACATTGCTTTAGATGCTTCAATACTTATCACATGGCTTGCAATTGCATGCATGAATATCATATTAACTTTCCATAAAGAGAGGGCAAGATCATACTCTCTTTCATATTATGTATGTGAAAACAACCACCCAAGTTGGGTGCCCTTTACATTTCCTAAAAATACTCTCTATAGATATCTCTTGAAAGAATTCAATATGTATTTTGAAGGAGAAGATGGCAGGGAGGCCTTGAAAATGGGATCGTGCATACAAAGTGGTGGGCTGGAAGTCGAGACTACTGTTAGAAGCATTTTGTGGTGCTTATTTGAGGCTATGTTGCATGATGAATAATTGATTTAGGCAGTCGTGGTACTTGGTTTTTCTGGAGAGTTGGGCGTGTTATTAACTTTAAATGTTTCCCAACGTTAAGTCTCCTGTGGAAAATAAATCTCCATATTGTTGCCCCAGATGATCTTCCGGTCCCCCTCTTAAGCATTCTGGTTGGACATCGAAGACTGGGAAAGAAACACCTTCGAGTTCAATCTGTTCAACACATATGATGCTTCAAAGGTAATATTAAAAGACTACTTATCTTGCAAGGGAAAGAGCTCTCTTTCAAGAAATAAATTCTTGCTGGAAGGAGTCATAGAAACTCAAGACAACCCAGCTTATTCGGTTATGTCCTGACTTAACCATACATGTATGTTTCTAGAACAGTATGTGTGAAGTTGTAAGAGATTTCAATTGCTATAGGTGTTCATAATTTTGCAGCCTGTGGTTTCTGTGGTGCTCATTAGCATTACATATGGCCTTTATGGGTTCGCTGTCGGACATCTGGATTGTTGACTAGGGTTCTTTGATATATGGCCTTGATGAATACCCAAGTTGATAGTTGTAACGTCATATGTTGAGAGACTTTTGAGCCCCTTCACCTAAACAAACTTATCTTTGGATATTCTTGACCGCCACCAATTACCTATATTGCTCCCACTTGCATTGCCTAAGGGTGTTCCCATTCAACCATTGTATTTACCTCTTCTAGAGTGCAAATACTTGCTCAATGTTTCAGTGTAGTAGTGTTTATAAGAATGCCCAGAGTCTGTCGAGTTGCCTGAGTTGACTTGGATCTGGTATTTCTTGAGTTCTTAAAACGTAAAAAAACACCCCTCAATATTGATTGCTTACTTCTGGAAAAACTGGTCATTATTTTCAAAATATTTCCTTCAAAAATTTATTTTTTGAACAAAAATACATGGCCAATACATTAGAAATTTCTTCTACTATCTTGACAACCATTCTATTTGTATGGAAATACTACTTTTATATAATAATTTTTTTTTTTGTTTATATTTTGACTTTAGGGAGACTTGGCTAAGACTCAATGAATCAAATTGGCGTATGGGAGTTATCCAGTCCTGGGATTAGGTGTGTCTCAAGCAGAGTTTGGGTTTTTGAACTTTGCCTTCCAATAGCATTGAACTGGGTTTCATATATTTTACTATCATTTTGAACTATTTATTAAAAGTGCCTAGAAAAGAAAGAGGGCATGATCTTGCTTTTGGTGGCAAATCAGGGGAGCTGTCCGTTTTCTTTGATATATACTTCTGTGCTTAACAGAAATTACAATCTTGGAGAGGACTTCATAGAGAACTATGTAATCAATGATGTAATTTGGACCATTTGTGTGGTGTACTCCGAAGGACCCTTCGCATACCACTTTCCACCTGTAACTAGCTATGGATGCACAACTCAAGATTCAAACTTGCTCACACTTTTATACATGGAATATGTACACGTATATAACATTTTATGCACAATGCCTCTTCTGAACTGTATAGGGGGGTTTCTTTTGTTTTTGTTTTTGGTGGGGAGAGAGATAGATCCATTATGGACATATTTGACTATCAAAATGCATTGAATCGTTTTTATTATATGAATTTCTAAACTGGAGTGAGTTTCAAAAATTTCTGAACTGGAGTGTTATAAAGACATGTTTCTTACAATGCTTTCTTTCAGGCAGCCCGAGTTGTGCAGGAACTGCAAGAGGCTTGGACATTTCGCTAGAGATTGCCCCAACGTCTCGATCTGCAACAACTGTGGCCTTCCAGGGTAAGTGAAGACCCAATGCTATCAGCCTTTCTCCAATTATTTGATCGATTTTGAATAGTGTTTCCCCCCGCCACGGACTTGCTATGTCCGTGGCAGTTTATTGAATGGAGCTGCAACAGATGGCGCATGGTCTTTGGCGGTTTCTGTGTGTTTTTTGACTGTCATGGACATGCTATGTCCGTGACGGGGTACCACTACGGACATGCTAGGTCCGTGGTGGTCTTTAATCCTCGCTGTCCAAAAAAATCAGACGGTGCTGAGCCTATGTGCGAAACACTATTCATTTTCGTCAATAAGCATTGCGTTGTGGCTTCCTATATATATATATATATGTGTGTGTGTGTGTGTGTAGGTATATGTATATCTAAATCTCTCCTTTTCAGGCATATTGCAGCAGAGTGCACCAGCAAGTCACTGTGCTGGAACTGTCGAGAACCAGGGCACATGGCGAACCAGTGCTCCAATGAGCCCATATGCCACACCTGTGGAAAGATGGGTCATCTCTCGAAGGAGTGCTCAGCCCCTGAGTTGCCCCCTGGTGACCTTAGGCTTTGCAACAACTGCTACAAGCAGGGCCATGTTGCAGCCGATTGCACAAACGAGAAGGCCTGCAACAATTGTCGAAAAACCGGTCACTTAGCTCGTGATTGCTCTAACGAGCCTGTGTGCAATATTTGCAATGTTGCTGGCCATGTAGCTAGGCAGTGCCCAAAGGCTGAAGTTTTTGGTGAGAGAGAGCGAGGTGGGCGGGGTGGCTTCAACTATAGGGGGGACATGGTGTGCAGGACTTGCAATCAGGTAGGGCACATGAGCAGGGATTGCATGGGGGTTGTTATATGTCACAATTGTGGGGGGCGTGGGCACTTAGCCTATGAGTGCCCATCAGGTAGGCTTATAGACCAGGGGATGCGCAGGTACTGATCGACTGAATTTCAATAGGTTAAGATCAATGACCAGGAGCTCGATGCGGATGTGTGTATGTGTGTAAGACATTAACATTATTGTCAAGGTAGGATACTTAAGAAATCTAGCTTGGGACTTGGTGTGGAAGTTTTTCATTTATTTTAATGTTGGATTATTGTGTTGGTTCGCTTGTGGTCGACATGAGTGGTGTTTAGGATTACTTGTCTGATGTCTCTTGGGACCCGATGTATTTTGTTTGTTGGAGGTTCTTGACAATCATATGAATGTTAGGCTGTTTCCTATCTATTATGTTTTTGTTTTTGCCCCATGATATGGGGATCTCATCTTAGAAAAACGCAAGGATGCTGATATTGCCACTTGAATTTTTTCATCTTTGTGCTTTCGTGATAATCCTCAGGTAAGATATTAACGTTATTTTTATAGTTGACAATACATAATACGTTAAATTCAAAAAACATTCAGATAGAAAGGTTTGACCCCAGTTGTTTAGCGAGGGAAACGAAAACGGCCCCAACAAAAATGGGCATTACCTTTGCTTAAGGGCCGTGCTTCATGGGACTTGCCAAGCATGCTTGGAATCAACTTTCATGGGCTTGCAATCTTACTATTTTATTCTAATCACAGAGCGTGCCAGGAACCCAACTTGCCAATTTATAATGTTTATGGAGCTCTTTCTGCCTGGGATTTAAAAAATGGATTGATGATTAGGATCGAGCATTGCAAAAACCGATTCAGATCAGTGAATCGGCGGTTTGGATCGTTATTTTGCTAATAGTGAACGGGCAAAAAAAACGCATGTAAAAACAGTGAATCGGCCAAGAACCAATCTGAATTGGCCAAGAATCGGTGTTTTTATTGTAGCAAACACGTTTTTTTATTGTAGCGAATCGTCGGTTCTCTTCTAGATTTGGGCGATTTTTTATATATTTACAGAACCGGCGCAGGGTGACTAATTTTTGGGTACGAGTATTGAGGCCCAGCAGGTATAAGAGAGTTTAAGACCTTCAAGGAGTGCCCCACCCTTGACCAGGCTTAAAGATGCAAACTCCAATTGGACCTATAAGAAAGTAAAAGAAAGTTTAAGTATTCCAGCTTTTTGTAATTGCCTAGGGAGCAGCCATTAGAAGGTGCTGGGTCAGGAACCTTCTGCAGTTGTGACCAAGGGATGGACCTTGAAGTGATCCTAGAGATGGAGCTCCAATTTAGTACAACGTCTGATGCTTAGAAGCACAAATATTAAAGATGGAGCTCCTGAAAGATGACTAGGGCCTTGTCGTGTCTTTGATCGCCAAGTAGGTCTTTGATAGTCATCAAATCGGACTCCTAACTCTCAAAGATTTTCGAGCTGCGTTCCATCTAGATTTTCAAGTTGCACCAAAGGAACAAGTGGGGAATGGGATAGAAAGATAGGCTTCGAAAAGCTGCTGAATTAACTCTCGGAAGACCTAACATCCATCAAGGATCCATCTAGGTTTCCAATACTTGTTTCGTAAGAGGAAAAATGTGAAAATAGGTGAACTGCCTCCTCATTTGCACCTGTGTGGTAGACAGACACCTCTGTTATGTGTACATTGGCGACTTCACCTTATTACGCATAACAAGCCAAACAAAAATCTAGATCTTCAGGGGAACTAAAAATGGCCACACTAGAATAGGGAGGGGAATTGTCGGGCTGCTGGGATGAGCTCATAGCAGAAAGACACTGTTGATAAACAACCAGAGATGCGGTCCGAAATCATCTTGTCCACCCCTCGAGGGTTGAATTGCCAGTTTAGAGGGGATAAAAAAGCTTCAAACTGGAGGATCTCCTCTTCAATGGGTTTTTCGTTAACTGCAGGGACCAAATCAGTTAGTTCCCCAATGTCTTGTAAGACTAACAATGACAAAGAATAGGAATCAGTCCATCCAACCATAAGTGAGAAACTAAAAGGAAAATGCATCACGGACACCACATACCTACTTTGGGAAATGATTTCAAACTTCCTATTTACAAGATATGGGATTCGCGCCCCTCAAACCGCGAGTTTTAATCATGTAACCTTTCATATTCTAGTCTAGTATAATCCCTCTTTTCACTTTTTCGACATATTGATAGAACATGTGGGGGTGCCTGTTCAAACCCCTATGAACTCAGAAAAAAAATGGAAAGGTTAACCGTGACACTTCAATCCAATAATAGAGTGCAGAGGCCAAAGAGTAGTGTGTCCAAGGTATTACCTCCACCCCATTGGGAATGGGGTTGAGGTTATGGTGGTAGCATCACCTGAGCTTCAACTATCAGTCTAGGTTTTCATTCTCACCGACGTAATCAAAAACCACTTACTATTTTTAAAAAACAAGTAAGGGCATGTATTCCCTACTGATCGACCCAAAAAATTATCTCCTTTCCACTAGTCTTTCTACAACTACGGTTCTCAACCGTAAACTATGGGTCACTCTCACTCTAAACTATGGGTACAAGGGACAAACCCGTTTTGGAACCCTGAGTACATAGTTGGGGGAGCCTTTTGGCAACCACCCAAAATCATTGAGAGTTTGCAACTATACTTGAGAGTCTGTTGACCTCTTTCTAGCATAAGCCCATCTTGTGGGGCAAAATACCCCCACCATTCACCAAATAAATCAAGATTCATCTCTTTATATTTTCTGATACCCAAAGCCCCCAACTCTTTATGGTCTAATAACGTGCTCCATTTAACTGGATGGAATTTATGGCTACCACCATGCCCGGATTAGAGAATCCCTGATGAGTTATTCTACCTCGTCTGCCACAACATTGGTATCTTGAAAAGAGCATTGTGGTAAATTAAGGATGTTCACTAAGGTGGGTTCAATTAACGTGATCCTACCCTAATGGCAAGGAATCTCCCTTTCCAAAGTGACAATCTACATTCGGTCCCCTACCTAATGTCATCCCATCAATTCATCCTTGGTCTCTCAAGGCAAGGCAAACATAGTTATTTGGAGGGCAGGGAGTCCACACTACAGGCCCTTCTCTTGGTAAGTACTACACCATGACCTTGACAGTGATCTCTTGGGGCCTTTGGACCATCCACTGAAATACCCACATATTCTCTCTCTCTTGTTTTTCTTCTTCTTCGTTTCTTTTTTTTTTTTGGACAAGAGTACATCTATTTCATTACTAATTAAAAAATATTTCACATATACAACGTAGACTCAAAAGAAGAAAAAAGAAAAAAAAAAAAAAAAAAAGGTCATAAGCAGTCATTAAGGCATCCATATCAACTCTTTAGTTTGCAAGATCATCAACCACCTCATTTGATTCTCTATATACATATTGAAAAGTAATCACCATCTGATTACTTATGTCCACAATTTCCATCCACTTACTTCTCAACTTCTCAACTTCTCAACTTCTCAACTTACACTAAATAATGATATTTAAAGAATCACCTTCAACATTACACAGATAATTCCTAAAGAGTTGATACAAGATGCATATACATTGAAGTACAACCTCAATCTCTGCAGCATTTGGAGTTACTATCTCACAAGGTCCACCATAACATACAATCATTTCCCTATTAGAATTCCTGATCAGCCCACCATAACTTGTTGCACCAGGATTTCCATGTGTGCTTCCATCAAAGTTTAGCATGAGTATACCAGGTAATGGTGGATGCCAAACACATCTTGGTTGAACTTTAGGCATTTTATGTCCCAACATATTGGAAATGTTAATTGCAACACTGAAGCCTTCCTTTGTGATGGATAGCCAACTCTAAATTGTATGAACTATTCGTCTCTTCACCACGCCCATCTCCACTACTCTCCCTTCAAAAGCCCTATTATTTATCTCTTTCCATATCTCCCACAAAACTGATGTCTTCATAATCTGCCAAATCTTTCTCCCCATACCATAAGACATAACACAATCCTACTGGTCCATAATATGAGCAATAGACTCCGGAGTAACCATGGAAACCCAATCTTATGAAATAACCACAACTAGATGGTATAGGAAAACGAACAATGAAGAAATAAGTGATCACCACATTCTTTACACAACATACACAGATTCACCATCACACGACCTCTTTTGATTAAATTATCCACCGTTAAAACCCTGCTTTGAAATAGAATCTGCAAAAAACCTCGCACTTTTAAAGGTACTGGCCTATTTCCAGATATTGTGCAAAGATGCCCAATTCCACCGAATTCTATCATAAAATAATAAATTATAGGAAATTTTAACACTAAATTGACCATCGTTATGGGTATTCCATATCAATTCATTCTCCATCATATGAGTGATATGATGACTCTCAAGAATATCCATAAGTTCTGCAAACTGCTAAATCACAATGTTTGATAAATGATTACGAGTCAAACACACCTTCCATTATGTTTTTCCCCCATACACCTCCACCATATCCTCAATTGTCACGTCTTTACAAGTTGAAAGTTCATAAAGTTTTGAAAATTTATACATTAGAGCATTACCATCCACCCACCTGTTATGCCAAAAAAGAATGGTTGATCCATTGCTCAACATCCACCTTGGGTTCTTTGTAACCAGTGGTTTAATTCCCAAAATCCCTTTCCATACATGCGAGCAATCACCTCTCCTTCTCCCGCTCCCCACCACTTGCAAATTGAAATTGATACCATATTTTGTTTCCAAAATTTGACACCAGAATTGGTCACCACATGTTCTATAGCGCCACCACCATTTTGTCAATAAAACTTAGTTAACTAGCTAATCCCTTATAATACCCATCCCTCCATCCTTTTTTGGTGTGCACACTCTATCCCAATTAACCAAATGGTATTTTCGATTATCACCATAAGAATGCCACAAAAAATTCCTCATCAACTGCTCCAAGTGATTACATATTGAGGTTGGCATCACCAGCAACAACATCATATATATTGGCAAATTTCACACCAGAATTGGTCACCACATGTTCTATAGCGCCACCACCATTTTGCCAATAAATCTTAGTTAACAAGCTGAACCCTCGTAATACCCATCCCTTCATCCTTTTTTGGTGTGCACACTATATCCCAATTAACCAAATGGTATTTTCGATCATCACCATAAGAACCCCACAAAACATTCCTCATCAACTGCTCCAAGTGATTACATATTGAGGTTGGCATCACCAGCAACAAATCATATATATTGACAAATTGGAAAAGGACGCTTGGATTAACATTAACCTACCCCAAGGCATCTTCGAATTAGAAATAGGAATTCCCAAATACTTAATAGAGAAAGTCTCCACCTTATATTCTATCACTTCTGTTAAAACCTCCATAGT